CGAGCACGCAATTGCAAGAACATGAAATGAGTTTGTGAAGCAGGTCCCTACTCAGGAATCAGGAGGAGCCTCCCTGAGGAGGTGATGTTCCTTGTATTTAATGAGGTAGCACCTAGCCTCCAGGAGAGGGAGAGGAGCCTGGGAAGGGCTATGGGCCTCCCAGACAATGGTTTAACATAAGTAATTCTGGCAAAGAAAGAAAAGGCTGAGTGTTAAAGAAATAAGAGAAATCCAGGAGTGCTGGTCCTTAGGGCTAGGATCCCAGACTGTGGGAGGGACTCACAAGCCATATATGCCAAAGACCCATGGACATTACTGTGAGATATCAGAAGCAAGAAATTGATGTGACCAGATACACATTAAAGACACTATTGTATGGAGCTGGGGAGATGGCTCAATCAGCAATCAGCTTACCACACAAGCAGGAGGACCTGAGTTCAGGTCTCCAGTACCCATGTAGAAACATGGCGTGATGATGTGTATTTATTTGTAACCCTAGTGATGATGGTGGGAAGAGGCAGAGACAGGAAGATTCCAGAGGCTGGACCAGTCAGCTTGCATGAAACATTGTAGTACAGATTGAGAACCCTGTCTCAAAAGGATAAGGTGGAGTGGGCAAGAGTGGAAACTCAAAGTTGATACCAGCCTCCATGTACATGAGCATGTGTGTCTCAGCCTTCAGAATCTCTGTCTTTCTGTTTCTGTCTCTGTCTCTCTCAGACTCACTCCCCCTCCCCCTCCTCCTTTCTCTCTCTCTCTCTCTCTCTCTCTCTCTCTCTCTCTCTCTCTCTCACACACACACACACACACACTACTTTGTTGCCTATGACAATACAACAAACCTAGTATATTTTAGTATAGTTTCAAACAATGCACTGTCAAGCTACTCCTTGCCACAATAAAAGACAGCACTGAGAACAAACAAAACCCATTTAAAGTGATTTTAATGAACCACCCATAATAGCACCCTTCACTTGATGTTTGAATACAGGCCTCTGCTTCTGCCCCTTGTGCTTTCTCTCCCTGAACTCACTTAATAGCATGCATGAATCAGGCACGTTGACAGGTACACATATGCCTTTTAATATCCCACAAGGCACATGGAACTCTGAACACTTGCCACAGACATTTCAGAGATGACAGGCAGATAAGAAGATAAGGATGAGGAAACACAGGTCCTGAGGTGGGGGTCGGGACAAGAAAACCTGGATCTGCAATGTAAGAGGAACATTAGCAGGAAGAATCAAATAGATGGTGTGTGTGTGTGTGTGTGTGTGTGTGTGTGTGTGTGTGTGTGTGCGCTCACATGCATAGGTGTCCATATATGTGCACAACGGTGTGTGGAAACCAGAGGACAATCTCTGATGTGAGTCCTCAGGAACCATCCAATTTGTTTTCTGAAAGAGTTTCTTTTATTGGTTTGAAACCCAATTCAGCTAGTCTAGTTGATCAGCAAGCCTTAGAGATCCCCTGTCTTCATCTCCTTAGGAACAGAATTAACAATATGTACTGGCTTTGTGTGTGTGTGTGTGTGTGTGTGTGTGTGTGTGTGTGTGTGAGAGAGAGAGAGAGAGAGAGAGAGAGAGAGAGAGAGAGAGAGAGAGAGAGAGAGAGAGAGATCTGGGGATCAAACTCAGGTCCTTGTGCTTATGTGGCAAACATTTTGTCAAATGAGAAAACTTTGCAGCCTGTGAGCCCTGTATATTCATGACCACTAGCAGGAATAGTCAGAAATAACTCTCCAGTTAAAATGGACTCTTAACTGCCCACGAATAGTGCTAACAGTAACTGGCTAAATGTTACCCCAACTTGATCCATCAAGACTCCCCAAGGTTACAAACTGTCAGTCCACAGGCCACATGTGGGCCATGAATATGTTTTTATTTGCCCTGAACTGTTTAATTTTTAAACATTTGCTGCCAATTATGAAGAACTAGTGAGATTTCAGCTAAGAAGTCTGGTCCCCAGCTTCAAATGAGAGCGTGAAGCCTGGGCTTTGCTGGGCCTCAGCTTTCCACCTTGGCCTTCCTGCCTCCTCCTGTAGCTCACAGCCTTCTCTCTTCCTTTAAAGTGTGTGAAACTCAGTCTGTGATGTGTGCCAGAAGCCACTGTCTGGCTCCCAAATGGCCAAAAACCAGTCTCCCTCCTGCAACTGGCTGTTTTCTTTGCCACCTTCTTCTGCTCCCCTCCCTCTCCCTCTCCCTTTCCCTCTCTCTCTCCTGCCTGAGTGATGTTCTCAGCCTAAAGCAGAGTTTCAGATTCTCTGCAGGGCTTCCTGGACCCACAGCATCTGACACTGCTACCAGAGTTTCTAATTCAGGATGTCTAGGGTTAAGACCTAGAGGTTTATTTTGAACATGGTTTAGATGGACGTTGTCACTGCTGGTCTGGGAACACTATTTGAAAACCACTGGTGTACAGCTCTTAACACAAGCTTATAGAGTCCAGTGGCTTCAGTGCGGATGAGCATGGGTAAGTAAGAAAAGGAGAGGCTCACGTTTTGAGACCCTATAAATAAATAGCCTTGCAAAACCTAAATGGAGGGGCACATTGTGAGGATTGCAGGGATAAATGCTTGCCATGTAAGCAGAAAGGCTGGAATAGCTTGAATCTCCAGAAGTCACGCAAATGCTGGGCTCATATGGCAGTCTACCTGCAATCCTAGCCTTTAGGAGGCTGACACAGGATCGTCAGGTCAACCTGGATAACTATACCAGTTCTGTCAGTGATCTGGGTTTTTATTGGGAGACCCTGGCATAGGGAATACGGTGAAAAACGATCAAGAAAGAGCCCAGAAGTCAGTTTCAGGTCTCCACATGCACATGCACATCTCCCGTACACAGATACACACACACACACACACACATCCTTCAGCATTTAAACACACACAAAAATCTCAGCATTTAAGCAAATACACACACATACACACACTCACATACACATACACACATGTGCACACACACCTCAGCATTTAAACAAACACACACATTAACACATACACACACTCACACATACATACACTCAAGTGGGTCATTGTCTTGCCTCTGAATCACTAGTTTCCTGAACAAAGAGCCTGTTCATTCCTTCCAAGTTACCTTTTGACTTATTCCCAAAGGGTTGAGTAAAGGCAACTGTACTGTCAAGGACATGTAGCTCCATCTTTACCCCAACACTGAGCACAGACACTATCTTTAAGAAATAGTGCTACTAACTTGCCCTCAAAGACCCTAAACCCAAAATACTAACTACTCAATGACATCACTGACCACCATAATCAACTCTCCTTGAGAATGTGTCATGAACCAAGCTCATCCCAAGTGCTTTTTGTATCATAATCACCCTCTGAAGCAGAGGCCATTACCTTGCTACACGACAGAGGTGAAAAAGTAGTTAAGTCAGAGAGAACTTGACTGGTCCAAGCACACAGGCTCTAAAATAGTCTAGAGACAGAGTCTACTCATTGATGGTCAGATGCTATTAAGAATGCCATGCTCCAGCCTGTGTCTTTGTTTTAGGATGAATGATAATGACACTCAGAGGTGATGTCATATGGGTATGCTCTCAGGAGGGGTTTAATCCGGATGCATGAACTCCAGATATAATCTCACAAGTTTCCAGAAGGATCTAGAGAGAGTGTGTCTCTGCTGGACTTTCTGGGAAGATTGATTTGGTATTAATCTAGAATGTTCAACAATAGAACTGGCTGCTTCCATTGGAGCTGGCTTCATTGCACCCAGATATATCCAGAATGGGGCTTAGCAGGGGTGCAACAGAGACGGGCAGTTCTACAGAGTTGTGAGAATCACCAGAGAGATTTTCTCATACTACTGTCCATTTCCCTAGACATAGAACGCTTCCAGTGGAGTTGAACTATTCACGACATGGATTCTCCCTTCACCCTATACCACAGCAGCTGGGTGATTGTGGCTAGAGTGTCTGAACCTCTCTGAGTCTCCCTTTTCTTCTCCCACATGCCAGGATAATAGCTCCCACCTTGTAGGCTGTTGTGAGACTTTAATTAGATGCTGCAAATGAAATGTTCAACATGGCACCTAGCACATAATAAATGCTCAAGAAATTAACAATTATCACAGTAAAATAACTATCATCATCACCTTTTTCATCTAAACTGAGACCCTGATGACTTCAAGTTTCAATGACAATGTTTATTTCCCTTTACAGCCTCAGTCAGTAGTTTCACAACACATAATAAAGTCACCGGGTCTGCGCTGTACTTAACACCAACAAAGAAACATCCACCCAATAAAATCGCCGTTCTAATTCATCCAGGGGCAAACTACCCATCCTCTCCCTTGCAAGAAGTTTGCAAGGACCCAGCTGGGTCTCTGGGTCTGCAAATTTTTCCCAGCAACTGTAGGAGAATGGGAAGTATTTACTCTGACATAGCAACTGTATGATAACCTAGTATACACCCCAACCTCAAAGAGGTCTGTGGATCTACTTCTTTCTCCTTCACCTGGAGAAAGGGCTGGCTGGTAAATCATTCAGTTACAGGCTCAGAGGTAGCACCATAGGTTTCAGAATTCAATTTAAATACCATTGAGATAAACAACATGACCTTTTCAATGTCAGTCTGGAGAGAAAATGACACAGTTGAACTGAAGAAGGGAGGAGGGCAAAATTAGATTCTTCATCACAATTCTGAAGTCTAGACTCTGCTCACCCAAGAACCATCCCCTCCCCACCCCCTCCATTTCACCACTGAGGGTGGCAGCTCAGACAGTTACAGTAAATGAATCAAAACAACAGCAGCAAAAGCTCCGTATCAATGGTCTCTCCCTTATGTACAGGGGCCTGGCTTTGCAATAATCATCATGTTGATATTCAGTGACTTGGTGCACACAGGGAGAGAGGTGCCTACAGACATATTCAAGTCGATTCACTGATTCCACACCTCAAAGAGCATTCAGAACATGCACACACCAAAGAGAGAGCATATTGTGTCCAAGGACTGGACAGCCACAGGGAGGTTTACTTACAGCTTTGGGTTTATAAGGTGGCTGAATCTCCTTGCGCTCAAGTTTCTCCCAGTCGATATACCGGAAAAATGCGTGCTCCTTAATGTCTCGCTCCCCTTCAGGCCCACAACCCAGGCGCTTGCCTGGGTGTTTGGTCATTAGCTAAAAAGGAAAGAAAAACACTGAACAGATTGCAGACCAGGAAATGAGAGCTGCTGAGATATTATTATTCCAACTACTTAGGAAAGTCAATGCAGACTATCAACTGGCCTTACTGTCTGCGTTTCCTTCCAGGGACAGTTTCTTAGTCAGGCCTCTGTAGGAGACAAGACTGAAATGATACCCATCTCAGAACAAAGTCCCTCAGGGAGAATCAAACAAAAGCACAAATATGGCCTTGAACAACGTCACATTAAAAATGTTACAGACTGTCATTTGAGTGCAAGAATGAGCTTTATGTGATTACTGGTGCCCCTGATGAGGCCAGTTTCTACATGTTCAAACCCCCTTTCTCCTGTCGTAAGAAACACTGACATTTGACCAACTCGAAGGATGCGTTCATTCAGATGTCATTTGCATTTCTCAGCAAAGCACTTGTGAAAATTAAAAAAAGAAGAAGAAAAATATTAGTCAAATGTACCCAAGTTTCAAGTAATTACTTTCAGAAAGCTCATTAAATAGTCCAAAGCTAGCCCAGCTCATCCCCTGATCACAAGTTCCCTACGCTCCGCTGAGGTTTCTCTGGTGTTCTGTTTAAATTACTTAATTATCAAAACTCTCCATCTTTGGGTCTCTGAACCAGTACTAAGAAAACAAGATGAATAGATATGCTCTGAGATGAAGCGACCAAATAGGCTTGCTCTTAGAGATGAACCCGGAGCAGCACACGAGGGCCCCTGATCACAAGACGCCAGCAAATGAACTGAGAGGAAATATGGAGGAGTTGGTGACTCAGAAAGAAAAGGAAGAGGGCAGAAAAACAGGAAAGAATGAACTGTGTAGCTGACACCAAGCACCCCCAGTTTTGCCTAGGACTGGCTGACAGTGGGTCAAGGTAGAACCCAGAAGCTCAGAACTGCTGTGCATTTGACATGAATCCTGCCTACAGTATGCTCCATGACCACCATCACAGGCACACACCGTCTGTGTGTGCTTCATCTTCCAAGGATCAAAAGTCTCACAAACTCAGTGTTCTCAGTTCCCTCTTTCCTTACAGGCATGGCACTACTTGACTGTCACAGTGACCCAAGGAGGGGAGTCTATTCCTTTTCCCTCTTGAAATGGTGAAGCAAATGATATTCAGGGAACTCAGACAAACACAAGGACTTTTAATTCTAGGTGGGATCCAGTCCCACTTAGTCTAGCTCCAAAATTGGGGCTTTTAAGAGAAATAGGAGCCAGGAGTTATGGTGTATGCTTGTAATCCTAGCACTTCATAAGCTGAGACAGGAGGATTGCTATTAGAAGAGTCCAAGGCCAGCTTGGGCTCAATAAAGGGATCCTGTATCGAACTGGCAGAGAGAGAGCAAGAGAGAGAAAGAGCATGAGACAGAAAAAGAGAGAGAGACAGAGAGACAGAGAGACAGAGAGAGACAGAGAGAGACAGAGAGAGGGAGAGACAGAGAGAGAGAGAGACAGAGAGAGCATGAGACAGAGAGAGAGAGAGAGAGAGAGAGAGAGAGAGAGAGAGAGCATGAGACAGAGAGAGAGAGAGAGCAGACCGACAGAGAGACAGAAAAACTGTGTGAGGTCCAAAAGAAACTGAACCCGACACAAAACAGCCAACGGTGGTGCCTCTTAGTACACAGCGCACATGGTGGGGCCTCCAGGCTCACTCAAGATCTGCTTCTCACTTTGCCCTTCTTCTCCAGCTCATGGGCTTTCTCCCTCAGCTGCTGATTCCTGTATAACCCTGCCATTTCAGCCATGTGCACTTTTGGGCCCTTTTCTCTTGGTCACCTTTGTCCACACGCTCTTCTCTTCCTCCCTCCCCTTCTCTCTCCTCTCATGGCCCAGTTCAGGCTGCTGGTAATGTTCAGTCTACTACTTTCTCTCCTTGCTCAGGGCTCTTCCAGATGCTTCTGGATGTTCTCTCCTTCATATCTACAATAAAAACTTCTCCCCAGCCATACCTTGAAACAGTCCTGTCTCGACTGCATGTGGTTTTCCCAGAGATATCCGTGGTCTCGCTTGGTCAGGAAAAGTCAATGGAGGGCAAGCAAATTAGGTCAAGCCTTGACATTTGTGTGGGGTTTGGATGGGCAGAAAGTCTAGGACAGTGATTCTCAATCTTCCTAATGTTACAACTCTTTAATACAGATCCTCATGTTGTGGTGACACCCAAGCATAAACTTATTTTTATTGCTTCTTTATAACCGTAATTTTGCTACTGTTATAGATCATAATGTAAATATCTGTGTTTTTCAATGGCCTTAGGTGACCTCTGTGAAAGGGTGGTTCAAACCCCAAAGGGGTCATGACCCTCAGGTTGAGAACTGCTGGTTTAGGTCGTCTCTACTAACTCTGATAACAATAACACCAACAGCAATGATGTTTCTGGGGACTGAGAGCATTATGTGTTTGGTTTCTGTGCTAAAGGCAACCCAGCCATTATTTATAACTCTTGAATCTTACAGCAACACTCTGAGGATTCAGCAACCATTTTCCCTATAAGCAAACGGGTCCAGAGAGTATAGTCATCTGCCTAAGGTCACATAACCAAGAAGAAGAGCTGGGCGTGCGTGCGTGTGCATGTGTGCGTGTGTGTGTACATGTGCATGTCAAGCTCAGATCTCCATGACTTCCTGAAACACTCTTTACCTTGTTTGGTTGAGACAGAGTCTCATTTTTACCTGGAACCCCCCAAATTTAGCTAAGCTAGCTTGTCAGTGAGCCCCAGAAATCCTCTGGTCTCGACCTCCCCATTTCTGACACAGGATGTGTGCCGCTACAGCTGGCTTTTTGACGTGAGTCCTGGAGACTGGGCTAAGGTCTTCACATGCAGCAAGCACTTTGCCAATGGAGCCTCCTCCCCAGCCCCAGGGTCAGGTTTTGAATAGCTCAGCTCTCTCAGTTCTCAGTAATTCACTCTCTCTTTATTTTTACTCTAACTTGCTAGCCTAGGCTTCTGTCTGCTTTCAGCATCCTGGCTATGGAAATCAGAGCAAGCTTTTGCTGTTTTCATGGTGGAGAATAGGTTTTTTTTTTTTTTAATGAGCTAGACATATAAAGAAGATGGTATATGTGGGAAAGATGGCTGTTTTCAGATTCCTTGTAGGTAGGGAGACGGCGAGCAAAGAAGTGCCACTGTAGGCACACAGAGCAGTAAGGAGTCTGCCGGGTTCCCACACTCCACTCTCTGTGCCTGAAGCCATGTAGACAGCTGGATGTAATCACTGTTCCCACTTCGGATCACCTCCCAGACGCATCTCCAGGGGCCCTCTGCTCAGGAGGAAGCATTTGGCTCGAAGCTTAAGCATCACCCCTACTTTGAAGGAGTATCAGCCTTAAAGAGAGAGCCCACACTGCACTGAGCCCACTCAACTCGGAACAGTGCCCCAGCACAAAAAGCCAAGAGAGTCACTCCCGCTCATTGTGAAGGTTATGGATCCTGAATTGATAGAAACAACTCCACCAGGCAAAGTGCTAATTGGAGCTGAAGCTGAAGGCAGCTGACCTGGAAAAATTTCTCTCCTCCATGACCCACTTAGAACCCTTACCCTGAGCTGTCCAGGCATCGATGGGTAGGGAAGGGTAAGTCCATGAGCATGCGCTGAACACCTACTATGTGCAAGCCACACAAGAGTCCCCTTCAACTGCCTCACTTAATGTCTGGGACATGACTCATTAAGTACTTTTATTCTGTTTTTGGAGATGAAGAAGCAGAAGGTCAAAGATGCAAGGAAATTACTCAAAACCACACACCTAAGGAAGGAGAGAGTGCAGTGAGAATTTGCAGAGGCCTTTTGATCTCCTAAATCCTTCCCTCTCCAAATTCTCCTGTCACAGAGGGACAAGGCTCAAATGCCAAGGGGAGCCTGGCACCAAACAGAGCAGTGACAGCGTTCCTCCTATTGGAGATGGCCTTAGGGTTTGGGAGCAGAATCCAGGCTCTGGTCTAAGTGATTTATAGGTATTAACTGGTTTAATCATCAAAGGACCCTATGTGCAGTGCAGTTATTGGCCTCAATCTGCAAATCAGGTCAAATAACCTCCTCATGATCATACTGGCTCACATCCTTGGACTTGGATGGGAACTCAGACAGAATCTGCATTTTTTTTTAACAAACTGGAGAGGGCACATCCAATCTAAAGGGGATGGTGATTTCCAGTCTTGCTGACTGATGCTTCCTAGGAATGAGTGGACAATGTAGGAGCTGGAAAGCTGAGGATTTATGGGAAAATACCCAGATCTTCAGAAGTTGGGAATCATTAAATGAATTAAAGACCACGACTGACTTCCTCCCGCTCCTCTCTTAACAGGATACCTCTGGGAGCCTCTCTGGCCTCTATCTCCATCCCCCGTCATCTACATGCTATGCCAGTGCTCCTGATGAACCCTTGAGTCTCCGCTGGGCTCCTTGTTTTTATTCTCTCCCTGCCTCACACCCTCCAAGAAAACTGTTTGTAACCGATTTAACCTGAAGATGTTAGGGACTGAGGCTAATTCACACGTGGCTTCCCCAGAGATGTCTGCCTCCTCGCCCGTGTAGCTCAAACACAATGCTCAGGTGATTCAGCTGGTGAGAGTTCAGTCAGTCTTACGAGGTAATTTCAAGCTGTGAGTTTAGTCCAGCTCATATCATCAGGGCCAAAACTCAGGCTAAGCTGCCTGACTGTTGCCGATTTCCTTAAGCAGAGCCACGTAGACGCCATTGGACTGGGGTCAGGAAGAGCAGCACCGGGTAGGGCATGGAAAATATACAAGCCTTCTAGAGATCTATGGAGACAGCTCTGGTATATGTAGACACATAGTAGGAGTCTCAAGCCCAGGCACAGCCTAAGATCTAACCTTTAGAGCTTTCCCTCCTTTGCTGGTGGGAAAGCCTTTATAAAAAGTCTATCCTTGCACATCGTTCCCTCTGTCTCAGGGTGAAGCTTTCACACTTTCATCATGGTTGAGAGACTGCATCCTTTGGACACTGTGTTTAAAGGCAGTGCATTTTGAGCTACATGGGGGGTTTTTCAGAACACTGGTATGCAGACCTAATCCTGGGATGGGGCTTAGGTCTATACAGTCTAAAAAGCAGACTGGATCAAACATGAAAAGTAGCACAAATAAACCTCACCTGCAAACTCCTGCCTGCCTTTCCTCACGGGAATTATTTCCATAAGCTGTAGGTGTGTACCTGTGCCCTTTAAACTGTGCACCTGTGTATACACAGCTAGGTGTGCACCCATGTCCCACAAGCTGAGGGAGAGCATGCAAGTCTGGGGACACTGCATTTGATTCAGCTTATCCAGGTGATCACTTAGAATCAATACTGCCTGAAATTTTCTTACAACAAAAGTCATAAAATTTTGATGTTAGCTGAAGACATATGCAGCAGAGCAGGACAAGGCAGACCACTCTAGGCCCTCTTCCCATGGTTCCAGCTCTGGAGCAACGTCTCTGGGTTTCTTTGTGTAAGGCTTGGGGCTGGTGCCCAGCTAAAAGCAAGACTTCAGTACTTCTCTACATCTTCAGACCTTGGTGAAAATGAGAAGGGAACTCTCTTTTCCAGGAGAGAACAGCTTCATAGCAGGGCTCTAGTGTTGGAAGCAGAGTGAGAGGTGATAGAAATCCTCTGCTTCTAACTAGTTGGGGCACAACCTGTACCCCTTGCATGGTAGTCTTGGCTTTGAGGGATGGACTACTTACCCCTTTGCAGATTGCCACAGCTTCCTTGGACATGGACTTGGGATATGCCACATTGTGCTCCATGATTGACTGGAAGAGTTCATCCTCATCCTCCCCTTCAAAGGGTGCCTGTGGGACAGAGGGAAGAGTGGGAGAAGAGCCCCTGCCTGGTCCTCCTCCCAGCTTTCTCTGTCCAGCAGGGCTTCCTTCTCCCTACCTCCAATCCCAAGATAAGGTTACCCTCTGGGACTTTCACAAGAAAAGATGATCAACAAACTTAAGTAACCCCAAGACCAGGAAAGTCAGAAGTACTCAGATTCATGAGCTATCACCAAGTCGTCACTGTCTCCAGAGACCATGTGGCTGGAGGTGGAGGATAATTTTCTTACAGATCACTTAAAATTCAATTACCTGGCCAGCCAACATTTCATACAGCAGGACTCCAAATGCCCACCAGTCCACAGACTTCCCGTAGGGCTGATAAGCAATGATCTGGAAAACAGAGGACATCCCATCAGAGTGGCAGACAGCTCCTATGGCTGGAGACTAAATTCACACTTACTTTACAGGAAGAGTGGCCTAGCATTTGGGTGGAGAGTCTCAGGTATGGTCTTGGCCTTCTGTGCAAGGTTACAATGGCTACTGCCGTCCCAGATCCGAGCAGGGTCTCAGAGAGTGGACAAATCGGGTAAGGTGCACCTGCACTGTTTCCTCACATTTGATGCTTCACAAAGGCACCTGCAGCTGGGCAAACATCTGTGTGCCACCCTGCCTTCTTAAGCACTGGGTGTGGTGTGATGTTTCAAATTTCTGTATATGGTATTTAATGAGTGGTTATTTTTGTTTCTCACAATAGAGTATAAACATTTATACAATAATGTGGATATACTTAACCCTACCGAACCACATACTTAAAGATGGTAAAATTTACAACATGTGGGCTTTTTGTTTTGTTTTTCATCTGTTTGCTTGTGGAGCTAAGGATTCAACTCGGGGTCTCACGTTTGCTGGGTGACATCTCTGTCTGACCCACGCCCACGATTCAGTATGGTTCTTTTGAACCATGATTAAAAATACAACACCCTAAAATGTAAGAGTATTTGTAATTTTTTTTTACATCTGTTTTTATTTGGAAAGTATATATGGTAAAAAAAAATTCTGTGAAAACCATCTATAATTCTTTGTCAAGAGTAAAATCATGGAAAACACTGATCTTTCTCCTGCTAGACTCTTTTCGCACAACTGTAGATTAAACTGGTGTGTATTCTGCTTAAGCTCTGGCACTTCAGAGGTGGACCCTCAGTGGAGGGTGTCCTTCATTCTGCATTTCCATCAGATTTGTGTGCTGGTACATTGGCTATTTTTTTAAGATTTTATTTTTACTTTGAAGTGTGTGTGTGTGTGTGTGTGTGTGTGTGTGTGTGTGTGTGTGTGACGGGGAGGTGTGTGCATGTGAGTGCAGTGGCTCTGGAGAACATCAGAATCCCTTGGAGCTCAAGTTACAGGAAGTTGTAAGACACCTCACAAAGATAGTGGGAGCCAAATTCAGGTCCTCTGGGAAAGCAGTAGGCACTCTTAACCATAACCACTGAGCTATGTCACCAGTCCACAGAATCGTTTTGTTGTTTTTCTCTCTACATAGGATTCCATTGAAAGCGCATGTATGTTCACACACGTGTGAGCACACACACAAATATGTCTTACAAATTCCCAATTGTCCAATGGTTTCCATAAGTTAAATGAATGGAAGAAGGATTAAAGGATCAAGTGGTACTCATGGCTGCCAGGCTTTGATAGCTGTGTGGCTGTCTACCCTTCAGCATATAGAGTGAAAAAGCAGCTGTGTCAAAGGCAAGATGCCGACACAGCAAAGGTTGAGGGCTGAGGTTTATGGGTCTATGATCTACCATTGTATCCTAATTGCTGTTTCCCAGTGTGACCTACAAAACAGACACACTATGCACACATTGGGGTTTTGTGGATATGAGGTACTGAACACCTCTTATACCTCATCCTTCACACTGTCTGTTACTATAATGTTCTCTAATTCAGTTATCGCTTGTTTCCCTCAATAAAGGCATTGGGGCAAATCTGGCTATAAAACAAACGTCTGTTTTTTGAAGCCCACCTCCCCCCCCAGCTTCTTCCTCAAAGTCAGAAATGCATAGATGATGGTCCGGGGATAAAGATGCCCATAAGCTAGGAGTCACAAGTTCCTGAGCTTTACTGTACAACGTGACTATGACAGTTAACAATGAACTGTCTTCTTGAAAACCACTGTGACTTCTGGGAGCTGGAGCACACACCTGCAATCCTAGCATCTGAGATACTAAGATAGCAAGATTGCCATGAATTCAAAGCCAGCCTGAGCAACACAGTAAAACCATGCTTCAAAAAGCAAATCACTGAGGGACAGTGAGATAGCTTAATGGGTAAAGCATTTCTTGTATGAGCCCGATGACTCTAACCCAATCCCAGAAGCCAGAAAAATGTAGAAGGAGAGATCCAGCTCTGTAAAGTCATCCTCTGACCTCCATGTGTGTGTGTGTGTGTGTGTGTGTGTGTGTGTGTGTGTGTGTTATGGCATATGCATGCACACATACACACACAATAGTAGTATTTTTTAAACTACTGACTGTAGATTTTAACAATAAAGGTTAAGTGCTTGAGATTATACATATACAATTAACAAACTGTATTATACATATACAAATTAACTCAATTCAACTCTTCTGCATGCTCAAAACGTTTTGTACATCATAGATATGAATTTTTAATTTGGAAATTTAAGATAGACAAATAATGAAACAAAAGAATAAATGAATAAGAAATGAACTCTGAACAGAAGTGACTGCAAGACACAGCCTCTGTGAGAAGCTTCTCAGTGAACGTGTCTTCACACCTTTAAGGCACTTGGTGTTTCATTTGCTTCTGACAACCCAAGAAGTTAAACCTTTTACCAAGGAAAATAGAGCCTGGGAGGTGAGAAAAGTTGCCAGAGGACAGCAGTGAGCTGAAGGAAGAGGCAGTCTGCTCCGGGCACCGTGTGCTCAGGAACCCCGCAGCCAGACAGGAGCTGTCAGAGACTATGACCCTACAGAGATTTGGAATCAATGGTCAAAAAGGGTGACATTTGGGCATCCTAAAAATTTTAAAGCTCCCCCATGACTCTGAGTATAGCTAGATAGTATAGTACTCATTGAACAAAAGACACACCCAGGAACTGTGTCAGAGTATGTCAGAACCTACGGAGAATTAGCCAAAGGATAACTGACCTAAGTATGCCACGCAGGGATACACAAATACACTTACTTACTTTGCGGGAGGATCAATGACACACATCTATCAATGACACACAGAGAGACTGGAGCATTCTTGCTCTCTGCAGTGTTTGAAATCTATGTGTCATCTCCCAGGCAGATTGTCTGCACCTTTTCACGAGCATTTGCATACTCAGAGAAAACACACAGCAGCGTCCCAAGTGCTACCGCCACTGTCTATAAACAGTGTTGTCATATTTGTTATTCCTCATTTGCATTTGTTTTATTTTTATTACTTCATGTGTGGGGTGGTTTTGCTAGGGAGCTCACCCTGGCCTCGAACTCAAATTCCCCCGCCTCAGTCTCCTGTGGGCTTGGATGGCAGGTGGGTGTGACAACGTCTCGTTTGATTTTAGTTTTTCCTTTATCGATATGTCTTGGAAACATGTTCCTATTTTCATATACATTTAACTTACTCTCTTCTATTGGTGAATAGTGACATTTTCTTCTGTAACTAAACCACAGTCTTCTGCTCTCACCCATATGGAGGGACATTACTTCCAGTTAGTTCATGGAGACATGCTTTGATCTTTCTAGTGTTATATGTGAATTCCTGACACAAATGCGGTATGTATTAGTGATTGATTCCTTCATTGATAGTCAGTAAATAAATATTGAGGGTCTCTCTTAGTTTTCATTGTTAAGAAGCGATGGTGGGATGAAAGAAGGGCTTTGAATGTGCCCCCTTCTCTGTGTATGTGCATTTATCCATGTGTGCAACCTAGGTTTCTAGAAGGCAGTTGCCTGGGCACAGAACATGCACGTTTTAAACATTATATTTAGCCTTATACCTTCATGAGAAAACTTCTAGAGAATTCTTGCATAGCAAGTGACTGACAGCTAGCCAAGGAAGAGAGAAATCTTAGGATATCTCTCTCCAAGACTCTGTGTCATGTTCCTACAAATTATTATCTCATATCTTGTTGAGAAACACCAGTGAATGGCCACTTCCTTTGGGAGGAAGGGGGCTACTCTGATGAACATTCACCCTTTCACCTATATCTTTATCACAGAAAGACAAATTTGGATTCTCCAGGAATGCATCTCCACTGCACAGTGCACCACTGATGTGTCTTGTCAGCCCAGAGGATTCGTTCCCCTTCTGTCTCTCACTCTCGCAGCAAACATTTCAATGTCATAATTAGGAGGCATCATATGGCCATGAGCCATAGCAGCTAGATGATGGATGTGTTTTTACTGATGTGTGATGGATCATTCGTTTGAGTTTTATTTAAAAAAAAAAAATCCTCCCTACATGTTGACGTATTTGGCCTTCTAGAGCTCCTAGATGTGCTAAGCCGGTCTGCGAGTGAGAGCGCAGAGGGACAACAGAGAAAGCAGGATTGAGGCCAGGCCAAGGTTCTCAGACACCGCCCTTGACCTTCCCAGACATCGCACAGCCATCCGGGAGCAGGAGAAACATCACTGCAGGTGGGCATATGCTCTCACCTCTGGGGCAATGTAGTCCGGAGTGCCACAGAACGTCTTGGTTGTCACCCCATCCCAGATGTTCTCCTTACACATGCCAAAGTCTGCGATTTTGATGTGCCCCTCAGAATCCAGCATCACGTTGTCAAGTTTCAGGTCACTGTGGCAGACATAAGGATTTGGAAGTTTAGTTTGCATGCTGCTTATTTCAGCTCAACCAACAGTCATGATAGGGGTACATCACACACCTGTGCTCGGAGCTTCACGGACACAGAGTTAACATAAAACCCACTTTTCCCTACAGGGTTTATGATCTGGCAGGGAGATTATAACTAAAGGGACCCACAAACCTCTGAGCTTTCTTTTTCTACAGCGTGAACTGTGCTTTGTGTCTCACAAAGATACAAGGAGACATTATCTCAGGGAAGAGAGAATCCTTAGGAAGATAAGGAAAGAACACAGAACCATGGATGATTTTAGAATCCAAGAGACGTCCACAAGTTAACCTTTATACCTAAAATCTTTTCTGTTACATAAAAATGTATTTTCCATGAAAATATTACTTTTAATGTGTCTCTGAAGATTATGGAGCTAACAAAAAATCAGATTCAGAGAATTCACTTAACTCCAAGTACTTCTGGCTCTCCTACTTTATGGGACTATACTCAGGAGCTCCAACTGCTCCTCAATCAATAGGGGTCCGTTGCATGCCTGCTATGTGTCAGACACTATTCCTAGAATTAGAAACATTAACTATGAACAAGATAAATAAGAATGCTTCTTTTATATTCCAGTTAAGTCCCAGTGTTGAGCAAAGATAAGTAATATTTTACCCTATGATCATGGCTATTTGAACTCTGAAGAGAGATAGTAAGGGTGGAAGGGGATGTCACTGGAGGACAAGTCTCTAAGATAGTGACATCTGAGCTTTGAAGAACTTGTCTTTTGCTCTCACCCTAATGTTGGCATCTGTGTGGTTGAGGAAGGCTTCATAGTCTGGAAAACTCCTGCCTGTCTTCAGCATGTAAGATTGTTCCCATATTCCATGAGGTATCTTTCATACTTGCTTCTCCCTAGTATCTACCCCAATGTCAACATTTTGTGCACCAGTGAGTAGGGATGCTTGATGTCTCAGGCTGATCTGGTTCTAATGGAAGATGTGGCAGTCCAGTTCTCTAGGAGGTATGGAACCTACTTCCTAACTCTGAGCTCTCTCCTGCATCGTCTTGGTCAGGTTCCAAATGTCTGGTACAACTCTTTCCTGATCTTTAGGCCACATGATGGGGATGTTGGTGAACCTGACTTCTGGTCCCAGGAGTGGTTTTACATGCCTGTACTTGCCATTGGAAATTGTACTCACAGTGACTTGTTCAATAACAGGCATGGGAGCCAATAGAGAACCATCAAAATCTAGATACCCTCTTGGTTACCCCTGGCAAAAAGGCAAGCTCTTGTATACTGGGCTGATTCAGGAGCAATAATACATATCTAAAAGCTCCAGCGGTTCATTGATGAAGAGCAGAAAGCTAATAAAGATCAGAGGCTACAAGGAATGCAACAAATAAACCTTTCAGATGTGTTTCTGGGCTTCTCAAAGGCAGCCAAGTTAAGTAAAGCTGAACTGAGTTGCTATGGTCACTGTCAGCTTATCTGGACACCTCCTATCTGTCTGTAAAGTCCCCTCATCCCAGAGGAAATCCATCCAATTGCATCCACTGCAGACAGCAACCTCCCCAATCCAATCCCAAGAATCTTTGGCACCATCCATAGGATCAATCTTAAACCGCACTCATGCTTGTCTTCAAGGCACGGTGTACTATTGCCAGGCTATAAATCAGGAGTGCTGTACTATGCAGCAACTATATACCAGATATATGTATGAATTCATTACACATGACACCCATCAACTTGACTATATGCCCAGAAACAAGCAACTGGGTCACTGGTCTCTGTTCTAGATATAGGCTTCTGTATGTGGGTACTGAGGATCCAAACTCAGGTCTTCATGTTTGCACTTTACCCACTGAGCTATCTCTTCAGCCTTGGGGTGCTTTGGTTGCTATTTTTCCCTGTAAGATACGCTTCTTCTTGTGTCAAAAGAGGGCTGGAACATTTATCTTGAAGAACTCCATTAAGGAAAGTTAGCACAGACCTCAGAGTCAATGACCAATAAACCAGAAACTAAGTTTGACTAAAAGGATCTTTCAGTCATCTCTGACTCCCATTCGTGTGTAGCATGTTCCTCAGAGAAGGAAAAATCAAAAACTTTGTCATCTTATATCCTTAAGAACTTCACTACTCAGCGTGAGTGAAGATGTGGACTTCTAAATCATATACACTTGACTAAATCAGCACAATCCCTAACAGCTGGGTATCTAGTCTTACATTAAGAAGTGGACTTTGTAAAAAAAAAAAAAAAAACATTAAAAATGGAGAAAGAAAAGGGGAATCGAGGAGAGAGGAAAGGTAGAGAGGAGAAAGAGATTAAATAGATGATAGAATTAGATTATAGATAGATAGATAGATAGATAGATAGATAGATAGATA